AGTAATGGTGAATGGTGGTAGTAGTAGCAGTAGTAATAGAGCAGCAGTGGCAGTAGTACTTACTTAGTGATTTAAATTGCTCCATTTAGTATGTGTGGCAACTTTGTCAAATGCCTTGTTTAAAAAAAAAAAGAATTAGTGCTAACATGTTGGATAATTTGATTTTACTCTGAGTTTTATCTGCCTACTTAAGACATCACTTAGTTTTAGTTAATGTTCTTTCTCCACAAAAAGACGTATTTGCATATGTGAATTACTAATTGTCAGTGAGGGCAGTTTGTATGTTTCAGGTTGGTATGCCTAAATGGAAAGACAGGGAGCAGAAAAATAAGCCCTCCTTTATCAGTAGTTTACCCCAGATTTGCTGTGATTCTCTTGAGCCTGCATATTTGATTGTTTCTTTGCTTGTGGGATCTTACTAATCCTTTCCCTTCTTACTGTGCCAGGCCTTTTTCTTCTATAAGGAATCTCCTTCTGTAAACATTTAAATAGGGAAGAATAGTGTAATCTTTTCTGCTTATCATCATTTGTATTAACAGTATACCTATGTGTCTTTCTATTTAAGAACTATGAGGAAGCAGCTATTACTATTTTATAGATTTTACTATTTAGTTATCCTATAACTTTAGAACCAGACAGTACTTTAAAGCATTTTTCTTTTTTTTTTATTTCTAATTTTCTTTTTTTTTGAGACAGAGTCTCACTTTGTCACTTTTGGTAGAGTACCATGGTGTCATAGTTCATAGCAACCTCCAACTGGTTGCTGTGAGTTATGATACCACGGCACTCTACCCAGGGCAACAGCTTGAAATTCTTTCTTAAAAGAAAGAAAGAGAAGGGGGAAGGGGAGGAAACTTACGAAAAAACTCTTGGGCTCAAGAAAGCCTCTTGCTCCACCTCTCAGGTACCTATAGCTGGAACTACAGGTGCCCGCCACAATGCCTGGCTATTTTTAGAAATGGGGTCTCTCACTCTGGCTCGGGCTGGTCTCAGACTCCTGAGCTCAAGCAGTCTACCCACCTACGCCTCCCAAAGTGCTGGGATTTCAGGTATGAGCCACCCCATGTGGCCAGGCACCTTTCTTCTCTAAATTTACAAATGAAGCCTCAGAAGTCCCTTTAGATTTTATAATTGCCCCAAGCTATATTAGACAATTCATCAGCTGATAGAGCTCAGGTCTCCTGTTTATTGCCTTGGTACTTTTTCAGTTACTCCATGTCACTTCCTATTTTTTTAAAGCCAACATTTCAGACTAATGAAATATGAAGTTAACATAACTGTTAATTATCTAAGATCATTAAACATTAGCATACATATGTATAAGGCATAAAAAGAAGTATTATCATGTAGAGAAAAAGGTGAATCCTGGCCCCTATTTTCAGAAAACAGAAAATATCCAATTCAGAGAGGAAAAAAAAAATCATTCTCAAAGTAAAATTATCCTATTAAAGTTGGTGCTCCATAGGCCTTTTAGGAGTTACTGACTTTGAAATTGAGGAAATGTCTCACCATGGGTGAAACTTTTAAATAGGCTCAGTGCCTGTGGCTCAAGTGGCTAACATACACCTAAGGTGGCAGGTTCAAATTTAGCCCGGGCCCACCAAAACAACGATGCCTGCAACCAAAAAATAGCCGGGCACTGTGGTGGGCGCCTGTGGTCCCAGCTACTTGGGAGGCTGAGGCAGGAGACTCACTTGAGCCTGGGAGTTGGAGGTTGCTGTGAGCTGTGATGCCACAGCACTCTATCCAGGGGGATAGCTTGAGGCTCTGTCTCAAAAAAAAAATATATATATATAGAGAGAGAGAGAGAGACTTCTAGGATAATTTCAGATAGTTTCAGATACAGAAGTCAATTAAAATTAAACAAAATCCTTTGATGTTTGGAGAAAAAACATTTTCCCTGAGCATCCAAAAACAACACAGTTGAAAAAAAGCCAGTGACCCTAACATTCTATGATACATAAGAGTTTGCTCAACATATAGAAAAAAAGCAGTAATAAGATTAGCTGTTTCACTGAAAGACTAGAAGGAAAAACAAGAAAAATAAGGGTGGAGGAAGGGGAGAAAGAAGAAACCTGAGGAGGGGTGACACTTCAGGCAGTGGAGGACACTGAGAGCAGTAAATTCCTATAGTAGAAGAGAAAGCCAAAAACAGAAGACAGACCATTTTTGTTTGGAGCATTGGGAAAGAAGCAAAGAAAAGCATATGTTCTCCAAGTCCAAAAGGGTATTATCATTTTTGTCATGTTAAAAGCATATAGTACAGTCTACAATCTCTGGAGGCAAAGATTGCAGCCTTAGAAAAGCTGTTGCAATCATTCTATTGACAAATTATTATAAAATTCAACCTAACAAATTTAATGATAGGTAATACATATATATTTTTATCATCCTGTTTTCTTGCCAACTATTTATATAAATTCAACCTATGGACTGAATACTTCAGAATAAGAAATATTATTATGGGAATAGTTTCATGTAGATTTTATTTAGAATCCCAGGCTCATGCCTGTAATCTCAGCACTTTGGGAGGCCAAGGTGGGAGGACTGCTTCTGTCCTGGGCAACATAGCAAGATCCTGTCTCTACAAAGAAAATAAAAAATTAGCCAGTGTGGTGATGTGCACCTGTAGTCTCAGCTACTCAGGAAGCTGAACCAGGAGATTCCCTTGCAGCCAGATGCTTGAGGCTGCAGTAAGCTCCCCTGCACTCCAGCCTGGATGCCAGAGCAAGTCCCTTTCTCAAAGCAACAAACAAAAAAGCAAGGATAGTAAAAAATTTACCCTTAAAGTGTAAAACTCCAATGTTTTGCCTGAAAAGCACTTATGATGGTGTCAGACACAGAGTAAGCATCACTAAATCTTAAAAAAAAAAAAAGAAAGAAAGAAATGAAATGAAACATAGGTATAAGATTTTCAAAGCTACTCAAAATTTGAGATACAATTTCTTATATCACTCCTTGAAATTCTCTTAAATGCCAAACTTAGAGAAAAACTTGACAGAAATTGTTTGCTCAAGTATGGTTGAAGAGAACCTAATCATCTTGAAATGTATAAAAAAGTAATTTATAATGCATAAACTTAATATAAATGGAATAGAAAAGTGAGTATAAATTGGATTTGGCCTTCCAACAATGTGATAGTTATGCAGACATTATTAAGTTCAAGAACATATGTAGCGGCCAGACAGTGGCTCACGGCTATAATCCTAGCATTCTGGGAGGCTGAGATGGGTGGATTGCCTGAGTTCACGAGTTTGAGACCAGCCTGAGCCAGAGCATGACCTCGTCTCTAAAAATAGCCAGTTGTTGCGGTAGGCTCTTAGAGTCTCAGCTTCTAGGGAGGCTGAGGCAAGAGAATTGTTTGAGCCCAAGAATTTGAGGTTGCTGTGAGACTCACTCTGTCTCAAAAAAAAAAAAAAAAAAGAAGAATATATCTAGTAAGAACAAAGCGATTTTTCTGGAGGAAAACAAAATAACCTGAGGGAAGACTAATTTTCTGACCCGTAGCACTATTACTTCTTCAAAATGGCTATACTGTATATCTTGTTCCTCTTCATGGGAAAGAAGCAAATAACCCAAAAGTTAATTAAAATCTTAATGTTTTTCTAAAAGTAAGTTCCAGAAAAATAATAGATTTAAGAACAAATCATTTACTGAACTCTCAGCATTTGGAACACATTATGAAAACAAATGCATGAAACTATATTCCTCACTAGGGCAATGGTTATCTCATAGGGAACTTTAAAAAAAGAATGCTTTTGGTCTGCTATGGACCAAGTAAATCAGAATTCATAAATAAAGAAAAAGATTGAATTGATTTAAACAAATCACTTTGTTTACAGAAAATTTTCTTTTGAAACCTAATCTAAATTTTGCGTTGGTAGGGATTCAATGTTAAAAAACCTATTAGATGCTTGATATAATCTTTAAGAAAATAAACTATGTTGACCTAATTTACATTTACATATTTCTTTTTGACATAGGTTAGTTTAGTTCTGGTCTCTTGTCTATCCAATTTTGACTTCTTTGGTGGAATAGTCCATTTTAAAATATTAATGATCCAAAATCCGTATTTAATGTAGATTTCTAATTTTTAATCAGTTGTTTACTGTGGTCACCATTTTTCCCATATAATGCTCATATAATTTTTGCTTAACATATATGAGTTCATATCATATAAGCATAACATATATGAATACTTTTATTTTAATGTATTTTAAAAGGAAATTTTATATCATTATTTTAAATAGAAAATCAATGTCACCTGAAATGAAACACTAATATTAATATAAATAAATCTTTATATTTAATTTAATATATATATATTTGATTTAATATAAATAAATATAAATATATATAAATATATATATATATTTGATTTAATATAAATCAAATCTTTATATTCAGCCTCTTGAGCATCAAATGCCGTGATATTTAAAACCAGAACTCCTTTCCAAACCATTCCCATTCACCTGTATACCCTACTTTGTAACAGTGTTGAATCCCATCCAGTCTTCTAAGCCAGCACCTCTTGTTCTTCCTTGGAATTATTCTTGCTCTTTTTTTACACACAATTAGTTGTCAGATTTTTTTTTATTTCCTACATATTTACTAAATCCATGCTCTTCATCTCCTTGGTTTAGGACTTTGTATCTCTTATATGAATTATTAAAAGATCTTCTGACTTATGTTCTAGGTTTAGTTTCAGCCTCTGGTCCTTTCTAACACTGTACTAAAGTTATTGTTATTTTTATTTATTTATTTATTTGCAGTGTTTGGCCAGGGCTGGGTTTGAACCCGCCACCTCCGGCATATGGGACCGGTGCCCTACCTCCCCCCTTTTTTTTTAGCCATAGGCGCCACCCCAAAGTTATTTTTAAAGGAAAAACTGTATTATGCTATCCTTCTATTTAAAGTTTCTCACAGAAGAAATATAATGTTAGGTAAAAAACAAATATGCTATGTTTAAAACATGACTTATCAATTTATTTATTTATTTTATAGACCTTAGAGTTTTAAGGTTTAATCAAAATCATTGATTCAGCTATCACAGAATACTCATCGTTAGTCTAATTTATCGATTTAACTACAACCAAAATGGTAGTTCAAATTTATTGAAAGCCAGACACTATGTGCATCCCCCATGTAATCTTCACAACAACTCATTGCAGTCGATACTAATATTTCCTTCATTTTTACTCATGAAGAAAATGACACTTAGAAGTTTGGTTATTGTGAAAAGAGACATAGCTGGTTAAGTCATGGCCTTACCCTTACCTATATCCATACACCACTCACCTTTTACATGTACATATTTTTTTTCAGTCACAAGAAACAAAACTAGTAAATGCAAGCTATTGCTAAATGATAGAATCTGAGTATATATGATATTTATTTTATTTTCTATATTTTTATAGCAATTGTTAATCTTTAATAAGCTTATAAATATTACTTAATTTTTGATATTAAAAAGGCTTCCAATAGAATAATGTCTAAATTACATACTTTATGTCCTTTGCAATCTGTTCCCTGTCTACCTCAGCCATTTTTTTTTTACATAAATACTTTTCCCCTTAAATAGATTAAAATTGAGTTACATATTAAAATGTTTTAAAATGGCTATAGCTCACCACAGGAGGATTAGAAACAATAGATCATCATGAGATTCATTTTCAAAGGCTACATAGTTGTCAGATTATTAACTTTTGCTTCTTGTATTCTAACTTCATGATTTTAGGATGCAAACCCTGTTGTAATTGAGCCATCATCTATTATGAATGGAGGAAAACATCCATTTGGACCACCAGTGCATCCTATGGAGCAGGGTGAAGACAGAATTGGTGGCAGCCTCAGTTATGTGAACAACACAGAAGAGAAATTCTCAGACAACATTTCTACTGCATCTGAAGCCTCAGAAACTGCTGGCAACAGTAAGTATGTTTTCTGTTAGTTCTTAAGGGAGTCTAATTAGGCTAAAAGGTATGGGAAATGGGGTATTGGGCTTCCATTCACCAGAATAAATTTTGAATGAAATGATCAGTTATAAGACTCTTAAATATATTATTAATTTTACAAAGAAAAACTTTTATTTCTACTTTATTAGTCTCTCACTATGAAGATATTTTTGCTATTTTCATTGATCTAGCCACATCTCCCTATATTGCTAGTAAATTGTTTAGTCAATACATTTAAATTTGGGAAGATCATTTTTGAGAATACAAAATATTCTATCTCCTGGACTCTCTATACCTGCACTGAATTAAGTGTACTCTTCCATCAGATTCTGTTGGCATTTCAGGCCAGAATTTGGGCATTGTTTTGTTAAAATACTGAGAAAGAATTCAGAATGCCTCCTGTAATTCCCCTTGAGTCCTTGGTACTTACCTAAAACTTAGTATTTCCACACTTCTAGGGAAGATGCTTTGGTGTTTCTGTGGCCCACCTAAATTTAGTTGATTTCTTTTATTCTGCTAATAACAGTAACAAGACCTCTAGTCTTACTGTTTTGTTATTTCCTCTGGGATACTCTCCTTTTCTGTGAAAGTTGGGAGCAAATTGAACATAGCTAGCATTTACTCTACTTAAGCTCTTTGTGGAATCTACTGCTTCTCTTTTTCTTTCTCTTAATACAAATATCCCATAGCAGTCTAGAAGTGCTAGTAAGCTTTAACACCAAGATTATTTTTTAACCCTATCTATGGTACTGTTTAGTTTGTGCTCACCAAATTATCTGTTACCCACAGCCTGAGTAGTACCACATGTGGAAGGTTATAAAGTGATTATTAGAATATTTATCTAAGATTAACATGGAGTTGAGAGTTGAAATACGTTAAAATAGCTTTAAGATTCACAACTCTAAGCCATCGTTAATCATTTTTCTGTGCACGTTTTCCTATTATAAAGATCATAATTTTCTTGCAAATACATACATGAAAATCTAGCAGCCTAGCACTCTTGTTGGAGTTGTTTTAGCTCTATCCTTTTAATTTTTAGACTTCCTGTCACCATCATCTATCAACAATATTGGAAATGTGTTTGAAGGTAGAGAAAATAATTAAAGAAGACTATGTAAAAGCCCAGCTATTAAGCCCACCTCTTCCCTTCCTATGAAAGGACATATAATTCTCATGATGAATTATTAGATATTCTGGGAGGGTATCCAAATGTTCGTTTGGTAATACTTTTAAAAGCTTTTAGTCTACTTAGTGGCATGCTGTGAATTGTCCAGAAAAGGATACATCATATTTCCTGTCTTCTGTAGATTTATCAGAACCTAAAACTTTACTGACAGGCCAACAGAATAATAGTGTTAACCCAATACTTGGCCATTGAGTTCATATTTAATTTAAGCCTGTTCATGTATAATAACTAAAAATAACAGATTTCATCCTCCTTTTCTTCATAGGCTTTCTGTATTCTGCCACACCAGGGGCAGATGTGTGCTTTGCTCGACAACATAACACTTCTGACAATAACAACCAGTGTTTGCTAGGAGCCAATGGGAATATTTTATTGCAACTTAATCCTCAGAAACCAGGGGCTATTGATAACCAGCCACTGGTAACTCAAGAACCAGTAAAGGTAAATAACTTAAGATCTAAAATTAAAGTTGTTCTCTTTCAAGTTGCCAGTAAATTTCAATGTATAGGTTTTAGAACATAGTAAAAAACTGATGGTTCGTTTAATTACTCTGATCCAGATGGAAGTCTCTTTGTATAGTACATTTCTGTCTTTTTTTTTTTTT